CGCTACTAGCTATTAGCTTAGATACTAGCCGCTTATTATTATTATTATTATTATTATTATTAGTCTCTTTAAGAGATATAATAGCGGTAGGCGAGGGAGGTTATATAAGGTAGTTAGCGAAGCTATATAAGTTATTTTTCCTAGGACGGAGAGACGCTAGAAGGATACTTATAAGATAATAGGGAAAATTATAAGAATAATAGTACTACGACACGTTAACGACTACTAGAATAACTATTACGCCCTACTCCTATAAGGAAAACACTATAAGGGTTAACTTACGGAACGCGGCGGATATTAATAAAAAAATTAAAAATCGGAGGCGTAAAGAAGGAGGAAAACGGAAGATAATAGAGTAGTAAAGGCGTTAAGGAAGATATCCCCCTTAAGGGGCACGTAGTTACCGTTCCTGCCTTTAAAGAAGGTATAAGGGTAAAAAGGGCATAAGAGGAAGGAGATAAATTTCTATTTATAGATACGTTATATAACGACGCCGGTTCTTTATATAGATTAAAAGGATATCGGCGCTAGCTTTTTATTTAGATTAAAGGGATATTAGCGCCGGTTCTTTATACGGATATAAAGGAGGCCGACGCTAGCTATAGTATAGGAGCGAGGGATTAAGGATAGGACTATAACAGGACTATAACGGGATTATATACGGGATTAGTAATAAAAGGATAGCGGGAATAAAGTAATAGACTAAGGGTAAGACTATAATAGGCCTATAATGGGGTTATATATAGAATTAGTGATAGAAGGACGGGGGGGGATATAGGCCGACGCTAGGTATAATCGGGAAAAGTAGCCCTATCTAGTACTAGCCGTTCCTAAGGATAGGAGCACTCCGGGGGAGGTCGCCCTATTAGGTACCCCTACCTAGGAGATAGAGGCCGGGTATATAATAGGACCACGATGGGTTCCCGTATAGATAAAACCGGGCTCCTATCTTAATATAGCCACGGCTACCCTAGGCCGATACTACTGTGTAGGGCCATGGCCTAGGCTTAGGCGTGGATATCCGTTTACGATATCCGTTTAACTATACTAGCGTTAGCCGAGGAGTATATAATGCTTATATAGTGCCCCCTCCTTAGTATAGAGAGGGCAGCGATTATTCTGATTCTTTAGGACCACCTACGTTCGGACTAAGTCGTGACCACCACTTAATCTACGCCTGCTCCCTTTTAGACCCTCTCGCTACTACCTTCTTACGCCTTATAACTACCTATCTAATAATTAAAACGGCGTTATAGAACGGATTAAAGATATCGTTAAAAGAAGGGCGAGGGCTATAAGGATACGGGCTAATCTGCCTACGTCTATCTAGCCTAAGATCTTCAAGACTACTATATATGTATATTATAGAACCCCACGATATATTAATAAGTGGAAGACGCTATACGAATGCCTACGCGACTATTAACCTAACCTTACGCACTTATAAGTATACGGCTATAAAGTCTTTATAAAAGCGCGCGATGTCTAAGCTAAAAGGAACGGCCTATAAAGACTAGAACCGAAGGTATAGATCGGTTATCACGTTAGATACTACTCCTCGAATAGTTTCCGCGTGTGGCTACTATACCTGCCGGATATTATTCCTATTAAAGATATAATCCTTAACGAAGATAAGACCTTTAACGGTAAGACGTACCGCACCCTTCTTCCCGAATAGAATAATAAAAATAGAATAAGAAATATAATAGAAGTAGGAAAAGAAATAGAATAATAATAGAATAAGAAATAGAATAAGAAATAGAATATAAATAGATAATAAATAGATAAATAAAATAGAGAATATATTAATTAGGAAGATTAGAATAAAACTATAGTAGGAAAGTAGAATAAAATACAAGTAGAATTATGTCTAAAAAACAAATAGAAAAGTGTATAAACTATTAAAATGAACTAAATATAAAATATAATACATAAAACAGATAAGACAGAGATAATAGATAATACATAGTAAAATTCTACAATAACTAATAAAAAGGTTATTATTATTATTATCTATCTTACTCCGTTACCCTATCTAATTTATAGGAGCCTATTTAGGCTATATAGTCTCGCTCGGGTGGCTATAGAGGGGAAAACCCGGGTAAATTCCGGGGAAAACCTCTATACTCTTCTATATTAATACAAGGTATAAATACTATTAGAATAAAGTGAATAGGAGTTGAATAGAGTAAAAATAATAGATAAGTAAAGTAAAATAAAGATAAATCCAAAAAGGGGTTAGAAGTATACATATATATTAGTAGAAAGCATCTTCGTGATTTTATATTTTTAGAATATTTTAGAAATCAATAGTAATAAGTAGCCACTGTCTATAAAATAATAATACTTATCTATATTAGTTAGTATATATATTTATATAATATAGTTAGATAATCTGGTTATATACTTAGCCCCAATAAGGGTAAGCGTAGTGGCCTTACCTATAAGGTAAGCTACTAAGTATATATTACTTAGTATATTTATCTATATAGTATAGTTAGATAATCGGATTATATATATAGCCCCCGTAAAAGCGAATATAGCGGCCTTATCTATAAGGTAAGCTACTAATTAGTATTAACGCGTTTAAGGAGGGTATAGTACTTATTTATGCCTAATACTTACTTAACGACGATGCTATTTATTACTGGGAGATAGTTGGAGAGGAATATAGGGGAATAAAAGAAGCTAATACTAACGACTATAGGAAGAAATCGACGGTTAATTACGAGTGATAAAGCGCAATTAATATAATGAAAAATAGCTTTTTACGATATTAAAGAAATAATAATACAAAAGTCGTTATAGCGTAGAAGAAACGAATAAATGCTATAGAAAATAAAAAGCAGTCGTTTTATAGGTGTTTTTGCATATCTACGGTTATTTAGCATTATAGAGTAGGTTATATAATTAGCCCCGGCCCCCCTCCCCCCCCTAAACGGGGGGAGGGGGGGGGGGCGAGCTTAGCGGCGTTGCCTGTAGGGCAACCTGCTAAGCTCGTCTAACGATAACTCTTACGATATGTATTTTGCCTCTAATTGTATAGGAGAGGTGGTATTAAATGCCTTTTTAATCGTGGCTTCGAAGGCCTCTTTAATCGGATCTTCGTCGCCTAGATTATTATTAACCTCGGCGTCGATATACTCGCTCCTATGGACTAAATATGTGGTTAATAGCGACCTTTTGAATTAGTTTTTAATCGATTCGGGGTCCCCACGGTATATAACTAATTAACGCCACCTACTCGAAGACTTCCAGCCTGCTACTACCACTATCGTTAGATTTCACATAGGCGGTAGCGCCTCTAATCCGGTAGAGGGATACGGCACGTTACGTCTCGAGGCTATAGATATAAAAGGTTAGCTGTATACTCTTATGCTAAAGAACGTGGCGTTTTTAGATAGATATTCTATAACGCTCCTAGTAATACGTAGGTTATAGAAGGATTAGACCGCTGTTTTTAGGACTAGCAGAGATATCTTATAATAGACCGATATACCTGCCTGCTATTAACTAACATTAACTGCCAATATGCCCTTAAACCAACCGAAGGCACGCTATAGCGCCTATAGCAGTAATAATAAACCTATTTTAACAGCTCGAGGAGTTTAACGCCCGCTTATAGCACGAACTAGTAACGCAGCAGAACTACACGATAAAGGCTTTATAGTAGGAGAAGCAGTATCCATAGTAGCAGCTACAGCTTTAACAATAACCTTAATCGTTAAGATCTAGGGGGGTAGTGGCCGGAGGAGGTAGTGGTAAAGGATTAAAAACCATTACTAATACAGAAACCACCGAAAACGCCTCTAAAATCTAATAGGCTACTAACTAAGAGGTATCACGTGGAACGGCTACCACGGCCGAGGAAAGCATAAACGTTATGCCTGCTGTTGATTTTACTTATTTAACTGCTGTTGTACTATCTTTAATAACGGCACTATTTTCCCCCTTTTTAATAACCTCTTTCTTAAAAATAACGCCTGTTTTTACACCTCTATCGCCGCTATAAGCACCTGGAGATACCTCTAACAAGGCTATAGGCGAGGCCACCGCTCCTTAATTAACTAATCCACACATAGCTAAGTTAAATACTACTGCTACTGCTACTATTCCTGCCTTATAGCTAACCTCTTAAACGCCTGCTTCTATAGGGAGACCCTTATATAATCGTCGACCTCCCTCCTTATACGGTAAAGAAGAAGGTCCTGATGGAATGGATCTGGCCGAATAAGATGCGTAGCGATGGTCTGTCCAAAGTACTGCCACCGTAAAAATATAAGGCGTTTATATATCTATTAGGGATAGAGGTCCTAGGCCAGGAGGATAAAGGTAATTAACGAGGGGTATAGTCCTCTATCGTCGTCTTGCGTAGTTAATTTGACCGTTGTTCTAGTGCCCCTAGACTATTATTTCGGGCACCTGTTTTACACGTTTTTAACGTTCTTACTATAAAAAGAGCGTGCTTTTTAATAAGCCGTTCCACTATTAGATTAATATCTAGGCTCTATTTTACCCTAGATTTACGGCTTTAACTTAAGCAGAATAGTCAGGATTAATCCTGTAGTTCTAGGGGGTTGTGTTAGATGCCACTATACACTTATCGGGGTGTGATAAACCACATTATGTTAGATATATGGAGTACCTCGATCCTATGTATCCATAGTTATTTCCCCTGCTTTTCCCCTATAGTTAGATATCCCTATAAAGTCTCATAAACTTCACTTAAATAAATACATATATAATTCCGCGTACCTTATTTATATTCTATTAAATGGAGATAGTGGTATTTATGCCACCATATAAATATATACTTTATAGGAATGTTTAATTCTAAGGCAAAAAGGAGTGGTATATTATATCGATAAAGTGACCTTATATCTATCAGAATACCTAAATGCATAAACCCGATATATAAACTTAATATCAGGATAGGATTCACTGTTATAATATTATATACTGTCTAGGGGTAGACAGACTAAACTAGTCTATCAGGCTATTCCGGCCTAGTTACTCTATTTTATTTACTATACTAAATACAGTGATAGTATAAAAATTGTGATATAGTGACCACCTCAAACAGTAAGCCACCTAGACACCCTAAATCCCTGTCATAATAGTCTTAATATCTTGAGGTACGCGATATGACTAGGCTACTTATTATGTAGCCAGCCTAATCTATATACTGACCAGATCCCCCCCCTCCCGCGTAGGTAGTAATCTAGTCGGCTCGACGAATGTTCGACGAGGCCGACACCAGCGTGTAATTGGAAGTGACAGACCCTTTGAAATATAATTTACAGTAAGACTTTTGCCCTTCTAGCTTATCACCCTCGCTTTCATAGATCTTTCTCTCGTGGCCCCACGACCCGAGCAAAGCTGTCGAATGCCATGGTCATGCTGTGTCGCCCGCCCGTCTTGCTCCGCAGCTTTTGATCGAAATCCAGGACCTCCTTGAAAGGAACCTTCGCAACGATCTCCACCACGCGAGTGGACTTCTTCTCCCGGAGGGACGTCACGCTGTCGTAGGGATCGGGGGGAGCGTACACCTTGGTCAAGTCGACCGTCCCGCCGCTCGACTCGGCTGATCGATCCTTGATCTCGAGTACGTGGCCTCCAGCGCCGGAGCTTATATCGTGCTGGACCTGGCCCGCCACCGCTTCGGGACAGCCGATGTGCACCAGCATGATCGGCTCCAGGATGCCGACGCGGTGGCTGGCGCTCGCTTGTCTGAGGGACTCCCGGACGACCTGGTATGCTGCGCCGCTGAAGTGCCCACCCGTAGGAGAGTCCAAAGAAGCGGGGGATGTGTCGACCGTGAGAGTGATATGACAGCCTTGTACCGGGGAGCTGCGCCGGGGACCCCTCGCCATAGCGGCGACGACACCATTGAGTAGTTGCTGCCGAGCTTCTTCCGGGTCGAAATCCAATACACCGCCAGCTTCCGGCGATTCGAGGACCACGTGAATCATGTTTCCGTCCTTCTGTTCGCCCAGATCAGGTTGCGCCTGGTGGTTGTCGTGATGATCTGCCAACGGCTTCAGGGTAGCTGTGCATATTACTTTCCCAGCCTTGCCGGCAACGGGCTTGTCGAAAACAACAGTATGCGGCCCCGCCGGTCCTGTCAGACATTCCTTGTAATCCACTTCAATAGGGCCATAATCCACCTGTGCCTTGATGCTTTGCCGCAGTTGATGCACCGCAACCTCTAGGTGCAACTTGCCCATGCCCTGCAGGATGAACTGCCCGGATTTCTCGTCTCGATTCCACCTGAGGCTTGGGTCCTGCCGCGACATCTGGTCCAGCACCGTCTCCAGTTCCTGGGCAGCCACGTTTCCGTAGGGCTCCATGGCGAGGAAAGCCACAGCGGGCGGGATATCGGGCGGCCGGACCTGTATATGTCGGAGGCCATCAGGGACGGCTTTGCCTGTGACGGTCGTGATAAGCGTATCTCCAGTGCGCGCCTTTTTCAAGCCCTTCATAGCGCCAATTTGCCCTTCCGACAGAACTTGTACCCCTTCGGTCTTGGCTGCGGAGATCTGAAGTAGGCCGAGGGGCGCCTCGGACACGAGAGAGTGCGTATTCCACGGTGAAGCGTTACGATGGAGTTCGCCATGATAGACCCGGACGAAGCTCAACATCCCCTCCTTGGGGTGGTTGAAGACCTTGAAGACGGAAGCAATTGCTGCGAGACGCTGCTTCCCCTTCTTCCCCTTCTTCCCCTGATGGGCCTCCAGGAACTCGGAGAGGCTCTGGCTCTGCTTGCTATCCCCATCATGAACCTGCAGTTCTGGCCGCTCATCCGGACTCGGGAGATAGTCCACCACGGCGTCCATGAGTGGTTCGACCCCAATATGACGAAAACTGGCGCCTGCTAGTATGGGGACCGCCTTGCCGCCGCCATGACGGATCGTGCGGCGAATTGCTTCCTTGATGGCCTGACTAGTGATAAGGCTGGGGTCGTTGGCAAACAGTTCCATGATGGCCTCGTCAAACTCGGCCAAGCCCTCAAGCAGCTTCTCGCGAGCCGTTTCCATCTCCTCGAGTAGGCTGTGGTTGCCCGCTAGGGCACGCTCCAAGGCTTCGCCCCGGTAGCTGGTCTTTTGCTTTTCGGACTTCCATCGGTAACCCACCCTGTCGATCACGTCAATGACGCCGACGAACTGATCCCGTTCCCACCATGGGATCTGACAAACAAGAGGCCAGCCACGGAGCCGTGAGGCGACCTCAAGAACCGATTTCCGAAACGAGGCGCCGTCTCTGTCCAGCTTGTTCACATAAACGATGCATGGAATGGCACGTTCCTGGGCGGATGCCCACACCCTCTCCGTATGAGCTTCAACGCCCTTCACGGAGTCAATGATGCATACCGCACCGTCGAGGATGGGCAGACACCGGTCAACCTCGAACCTGAAGTCTTGGTGTCCTGGCGTGTCGATGAGGTTAATCACTTTGGGCCTGACTTCGACAGGAGCTGATTGGCACGCCTCGGGCAACGGCCAATGGAAAGTAATGGCCGCCGATTGGATTGTGATACCACGCTCCCGCTCAAGCTCCAGGAAATCAGTTACCGTATTTCCAGCGTTAACGTCTATAGGCAAGCGTTAGCTTGCTCGCCCAATGAGCCCATGAGCTTTGTCTCCTCTAGACAGTTTGGATCCTCTTGGATGCCGAGGATGAGTTCCTCGGGCAGACCTTGTAAGGCCTGGTCAGAAGCACTGAAAACCGAAGGATCTCCAAGCTGCCACGAAAAGTCGAGTAGATAACTAATAACACAATAAAAGGAATGAACCCACCGCCAATTCGATGGGTCACACCACTGTAGTAGAGCATTCGTTCGGTGGTGGTGGTTTTCCCCTAGTGCTCCCCGTCAGCTCGCTCCGCATGCAGCTCGAGTAGAAAAGGAAGAAAAGGAATCCTGTTCTTACTGCATCAACATGAGCAATGATTCCAATGTTTCGGATGTCCTGGATGGCGGGTTGTTGGAGTCTCGGGTGACTAGGCGGCGCATGGAATTGTCTCCTGTGGCGACGCTGGAACTGCGGGTTCCTCTCCTGCGGGCTACTTAGCCACGAAGATGCATGGCCGGGGCGGACGCGACTGAAATTCGCTTGCTCTAAATCAAGCTGGAGCCGTCGACAGGAGCTCCAGATTGGCGGTGATGCTCGCAACGCCAGCATCGCAGCGGACCTTACAAAGTAGAGGGCCCTTTCATGAAATTGGTGCAAATGCACTAAGCAACGTTAATCTTTTCCCTTGTCCCTTTTCCCTTTTCCCTTTTCCCTTTTCCCTTTTGCCTTCTTTTCCTTCTCTCTCTATTTTCTTAGTCGTCGGGCAATGCTAAAGCATACTTACAGCTCGATATCTCATACACGTTGAAGGGTTGATAGGATGAGAGAGCAAATCATTTTTAGATCATAGCTCCCTTCGGTGTGGTAGGTACACTACAGGTAATTACATGACTTATTATTAGCTAATTACCTCCGAATCTTCAATCCCAACGTCCTCTTGCTCGTGTGGCTGGTGCCAGGCTCTCAGCCACTAGGTAGGTACCGAAACCGAGACCAAGTTACCTAGGTAGGTATTCAGAGCTCCATATCTGTGGTATGTATCTAGGTAGGTACGGACCTTTTCTTCTTTTTTTCTATTTAAAAAAAACAAATAATAGTGGTATAATTATATTTACCTGGGAGTGATTAGTTTCCTTTCGTTGCGTTGAAGCTTTAAGGATCGCTTCTCGGCTGGGTTCTGGAGGCAACACATCGGGTTGTGGCGCAAGCTCTACAAAGACGGGATACAGAAGTATTTCGCGACGATCAACCTCCCTTCTCATAGTCGCACAATCTACTACTCTCCCCTAAACGGCCACAGCCCACGTTCATCACCCCATTATTCTACCTGTTTTCCCACTCAACGGGCAGCGCGATAGCAATCACGTATTCACGATGGAGCTCTCCGATGCATTGTCAGTCATTCTTCCCATGCCGGTTCCCCGTTTGCTAGGATTCGCCACTAATGAAGAACGTTGTTATTAGCCGGATCGTCAACCTCGTTACCGCGACCATCATGGTCCTCGGCGGTATATCTCAGTTCTTCCATCACGGCTTGTACGTTGTACCTGTAGTTATGGCTCTTAATATGGATTTCTTTCGCCAGGGGGATGCATATGGAGATGGACAAAGGCACAGCTTCCAGGACGCAAGAGATCAGCCATGATGGCTCGTCTTGACCTTGGCCTCGCCCTGGAAGCTTTGCCATCATTTCGCAGTTCTTTCGCAGTCTTCCAATGTACATCCACCACTGTTGGCAATGCTGACAGAACCGCCGGACATAGTCAAGGGGTTATTATCGGGGTCTACGTTGTAGTCTTCGGTCTTTGTACGTCACAGTCCTTTCGAGTTGGGCTCTTGATGCCTGCAACGTCTTTTTTGGCTAACCTCTTGAATCACCATAGGCACTGCTCTTCTTGGTACACTACATCGATCCTCTCCTCATCTGGTCTTCCAACAATATCCGTTACCTCTGGTTACGGGTGCTTCCTTAACCCTTTCGACTGGCTAACCTCAATTCGATCAGAATTTCAAATTCCACCTCAAGTCTCACGATACGCCTCGTTTCTCTTTTCCTTCCTCGGCCGAGGCATCTGTAGGCTCCCTCCCTCTTTTTGCCATCTACTGGCGCTGTACTGACCACGAGCCTGTTATAGTCTACATCTTCATCGGGTCCATCATCCTCAGCGACAACATTTTCCGCATCATTGCGGGCTCCATCATCGGCATTATCGGTGTCACCTACGCCGTCCTCGAGTTCGTTCCCCAGGTCGAGCCGCCCATCAATATGCGTGAAGCCGACGCTGGTTGGGGAGCGGAGCAGGTGTAAGCAACGCTCCTCCCTTCTACCTTTTCTCTCAACCACCGCACTACACAATTCGGGCGGCCTCTCGTATTTTGCATGCCCTTACGATCTACTGGGCATGTCACAACCACTCACTGCCTCTCAACGCTACCGATCGAGAATATTTTGCTGAGGAGCTTGTTAAGATACTGAGGCTGGACTCAACACCGCCGTATCACGGGAACGATTAAAGAACCCTTTCATTCTCTCTATGCCGGCAAGACGAAGGACGGAGGGACCGTTTGTCAAACCAAACCCATTTTTTTCGATGACATTTCACCCGTCGTATGCCCTGGTAGACGGCGTTGTACTTTTACGTACTCAAGCTCGCGCAGTGTCGGTATTGGTTCGAAATGGGTGGATTGAAGCTGACAGTCAAACGAGCAAATGAGGACGCCATGATTATGTAGAGCAGGGCACGGGGTGCCTCCTTGTGTTAAGTACTAGCATTGGACAGGCGACATTTGTAAGGCCGCCAGGGAGCCCGGTATGTTGCAGGAGCAGTCATGATGCATACATACAATATGCGTTTGTCTTCAACAGAAGAATAGTATTGCAAATAGCTCCTTTGCCTAAGGTGATTTACTACGCTCAATCTCCCTGGTCAGCTGAAACGTCTCCTTGACGGACTTCCCGACCTCTGTGAAGAAGACCAGCCACTCATGGATAATGCTTAATGGGCTTGGCTCATTCATTACTAAATGCCGGGGGTATGTCACTCGTCATGCCGGAGTGATCGGCATACTGTGTCTATATTGGTACCAACCTATGGCCTTCACATCTTTAATCTCGCACCACTGTCGTCCTTGCGGACTTGGAAGACTGTACTCATCGCAGCCTCGACAAATTCGCGAGTTCTCGTTCTTTCGCGGCCAAGGCTTCCCTCATCCTCTGCGCCTCTTGTTCCAAGGTCTGCCTGTGGGCCTGGAGACGTTCGTGATCTTCATGCACACCGTATGGGTGGGGGTAGCTACTCGCAAGCAGTGAAGGCGCTCCCCTAGCAGTGAAATGTGAGCTTAACCTGGGAGAAGTGCTTATATATGGGGTGGCTGTCCCACGGTAGTCCACTCCGGAAATCTCGCGCTCTGCGTGTGGTGTGACAGTGGACTGCAAATCGTTGCACGGATTGAGGATGGACTTGATGGACGAAAGTCGTTTCGAAGCGTCAGGCCCACCGTCGAGAGTAGTGTTGCTATCGCCGTCCGCAGCTGACAGGGAGCGTTTCCGCAGTGGTGAAAGAAACGAAGCCGGTGCCAGAGTCATTCGTGTATCAGCGTGACCATGGATGGATGCGATGGGTCCAAGCTGGTTCTGATGTGAGTGAAAATCATGATGATGTCCAAGCGGCGTCCCGGACTGAAAAGATTGATATCCGGCTAGGTCAGAAACGGGAGGTAAAGTGGTCTTTTGGTGATGCGAGGACAAAGCGGAGATGGCGAGGATCGGGGGTAGTTTCCCTGGCCGTGGCCGCAGCCCCAGATTTATGGATCCGTCGTCGTTGAGGGTGCCCCTTTCGGGGCTTGGCTCGGGAACCTGGCTCTGCGTCTCGGATCCGTCATACTCCTCCGTGTCCTCGCCGCCCGCAGAGCTCGGAACCACTCTCTTCCGGCGTTTGATGATGGACTTCTTCATGCTCACTGGTCGATGGACGCCGTGGAGCTTATAATACAGGCCTAGTATCGTCAGCGCATTGCTAGTGGGGAAGCAGATTGAACCGAAAAATGGAAGAAAAGGAAAAACCCTACCACAGGCATTGCAGATCGTATGCCCACTTTCATCCCGCCTCCACAAGGGAGTAGTTGTCGTGCCACAGTTTTGGCAAGCAATGACGACGGTGGTATTTTGGTATTGCAGATTCATAGCACCTACGTCCACTGGCGCAGCAGGGTCATCAGCGGCTGGCTCTGACATACCCCGACCGGAGCTACAACTCTGGTTCTGGACCATATTCAACTGGGCAGCTTTGGAGAGACGGTTATTGTAGGCAGGGCAGCCGCCGCAGCCTTCAGCACCTCCTGTCCCATTGCAACGCCCACCTCCCGGGCACGTGCCAGCAGGGGCTTGATCCTCTGTGACATATGTCGGGGCAGGCGCGCCGCGATATTTTGTGCCAGGGCCGGGCGCAGGAGCAATTTTAGGGGGCGCTGATCGCGCGCTCGCAGGGACTAGTTGTGGGGGCTTCTTCTTCAAACTCGGAGGTCGGGATGTGTTCCTCGCTTTCTGATACAGGCCGCAGGCATTGCATATTGTCGTTCCCTGGGGCGATCTCCTCCAAAGAGGGGTTCTCGTCGTGCCACAATTGCTGTCCAAATGTTAGAAGAAGAAGAATATGGCATGTCGGTAAGAAAGGAAGAAGGCACCATACCTGCAGACTTGGCCGGTTTGACCCGAAGTGTTGCCCCTGCCAGGAGAAGCCATCGCAGTCATCTCAGCCCTCGGCTGATGGGGAGAATCTGCTTTGTCTTCTGGCTTCGGGCTAGGTGCCTGTGAGCTCGATGCTTCATCACTTGACAGGCTCCGCCGCGATCCCAAGTCTTGTGCCTTGTTGGTCGTTGTTCGAACCACGCCAGCTGACCAGAAGGGCAACTTGGGGTGCGTGGGAAGTGTATTCCGGGAAGTGGATGACGGGTCATCCCTCGAACCCCTTGGCGCGTATGGTGCAACACCTTCTGACATGGCCATTCGAAGACCTATATATGCCCCAAATTCGTTTTCAGCTGTGTGGCCTACACTCGAACAACAGCATAAGGGACGTGAGCCGAGGCCACGATTGGCCTTTCACGACCATGTAGCGCCGAAAAAGGTGTCTAGCTGGCAGGTCCTGATGTTGCTCCTCGTGGCGGGTGATCCGTAAGCTAAGTACTCGTCGACGAGCAGATGGTTGAGCGGTCTAGGAAAATGTTTGCCCGACTGCAACGAGGACGCTGAAGCCAGCAACAGGTGGTTGTTATGATCTCCAGTAGGCGACAGGTTGAGGAGACGAATTTCTCAATCAGTCAACGTGACATTCGACGGAAAGCCCAAGCGACGAGATCGGGTTGGGGCAGCGGCGCGAAAAAAAGATGGCTTTAGGTTCTCTGATAGATAGCCTGGAAGAGTAGAAGCGCTAATTCGGTCGGGTTCGGGTTGCCGGTTACATAGAGTACGGAGTATAGCACAAAACTTGGACCCAGCAAGGATGGGAACGTATCCGTAATCGGAGAGGTATGCTTGCGAAGCCAGACTGTGAACGCGATGACCTTGTCAAGTAGGAGGTCGGCCGGTGAAAGGGCGTTGGTTAATCTGACTAGTAGGGTAATAATTAGGTAGGTATGGGTGGTAAGTGGCCGTATAAGTTCGGCGGTGGCAATAATATCCGTAGAGGCCAGGTCCGCCAGGTCCTTCATGAGGGTGTTGGAAGTCAGTCAACGACACCGGGGCCAGTCTTGGTCAGCTGTTGTTTATGTCCGAGAGTTTATCTCTTCCAGCATCAACCATCCAGCAGATGCGGTTCTATGAAGAACGACTTTATTACTTCTTCGTACTTGGCGGATGAAGACCAAACCACACGTTAATAGGGGGAATTTGTCCGCCAGGATTTGTACAAAAACAGGACTCGAAGAGTCCAGGCGGGTAGGTAATACGGCGAAGACGGAGTACCTACAGATTCACTTTTGTGACAAATGGTCCACATGGATCCACTCGGACTTCTAACTCAGAGGACGCATTGATAATAAGCGTACTCTGATTGGCTTTAGGATCTGGGGTCCTCGAAGCTAAATGGGCACCATGAACAGCGGAAGGTACACCTCTACCAGGATCTAGTATGTTAGCGTGTGAATTCGCCCCACGTTCTAATCGCTTATTGGATTAGCCTGCTAATCCGTACTTTTCCTCCTATTTTATATAGGCAGGTACAAAGATAGATAACGATCATGGACCTAACGTCACGAAGGCATCTTTGAGTGAAGCTATCACTATCTTACCGATAAATAGTTTAACTACTCGTAACTTTATTACTTTCTTCGTAATCCGTATTTTAAAGCTAGTATTAGATTCTATAGAAGCAGCTATTATTAACGCCCTACTATCCTCTAATATTTCTAAGACGAGCCCGTCTATATTAGGTTATTAAGAGGGATAGAGGAGATACTGATTCTTGATTATAGTAATAGCTACCTAGTTACCTTATAATGGTGGTGATATACTTTTTATTTATATAGGTTTATATACTTAAATTTACTTATTGTTTGTATATATTCGGATATACCTCTACCTAGTAGGGCCCCCTGTTATCCCTAGCCAGTTATATTAGTTTATGTATGCGCTAATATACTAGATCCTGGTAGAGGTGTATAATGGCTATACACTGGCCACTAGGGCGTATATACGGGTCACGTGACATCGCTTACATAGCTACTCTAGCTTACTCTAGTATTAACTATCCTAGCTATCTATTATATATTACTAGTTTAACCCTTATGCTTAGTTATCTTTATAGTGGTAATAACTATTGTTATTCTTCGATACTAGAGAAAATAGTACTATTAATTATATTTCTTGAACTAGCGTTTTCCGCACTATAAAAACTAAAACTTTATAAATTCGCGCGAGACCTATCCCGCCACACACTATCCAGAACGCCGCTAAGTCGGCACTAAAGCTATACTAAGCCCAGTCGGGCAACCTATAAAAACACTTAGCCGGATTTTATAGAACGCTAAGCTTCGCGTCGAGTATAGTCTAATATAGACGGATAGTATACTCCTCGCTAGATAGCTACTTCGATACTATAATGCTAAGGGTAAGTTTATCTCTTATTTCGAAACTATAAATATAATAGTCTTATAATAGTTTTTACATATATACTAGGCCCTGAATATTAACGACCTTTACGATAAGGAAGACCTATATCTACACTCCTGGCTTTCTTATTTAGCTTTATTATACTCGGCTTTATAATCCTTTAAAGAATAGACAGACACGATCTATAACGTGTTTTATTACCCCGCTTATAATAAGTCTCTTTACTCGATATAAGAATAACCTACCATATTATATACGCCTCTATAAATATTAGTTCGGGTTTACCCTGTAGTGGATATAAGTATAGTTATATTAGACTCCGTCTATATCTCCACGCCCCGTAACTATATAAGTAGTACGTAAAAATAACCCTAGGCACCGTCTCGCCTAAGATCTTAACCGAATACTAAATTCTCGTCTACCCTATTATAGTATCCGCCCTTACTCACGTCTCTAGATGTTTCCGATTAATCTAATTCCGTACTACTATCTATACTATAATCACTAAGTCTAAACGGTTCTATAATCGATTATAGGAAAGTAATATTATACCACGATTAATCCCGCGAATAGAAAAAGGCAGATACCCGGTTAATACGTCTTATTTAGTAGGCTATCCTAGCCTTATAGTAATAGCTATACTAGCTATAAGAGGACGCCCGCTAGCGTTAATATAAGGACTCGGAACCTCCCGAGTCTAAATAATAGTAAATATTAAGAGATAGAGTGGGCACCGGCCCTATACTATAAGACTAATATAATACTAACGTTTCGTAGGAGGCCCCTTTCTATCCCGTGGACGTTTGTATGTGTATATATATATTTCTATTTAAGTCCTTGGCGATCTCTAGTGAATACTAGTACCGCATTTCTACTAAAGTATCGGGCGGTATAGGGTCTATATATGTCAAATGGGTAGTCGCAAAGAGTGAAAAGGTAGGGTCAAGCAAGGAACCAGGTGTGATCACTATAGGGTCATAATAGGGTCAGATATAGGTATAGCCAAAGAATCAGATTAATCGCTGGCCTCCTTCCTTAAAGGGGAGGCTCCTCCGCTCCTTAAGTTTACGCTCCACTGCTTTCTATTACTCCTCGAGGACTACTTATTTACTTCCTCGAGAGCTGCTTTATTTACTTCGAGAGACTATTCCATTTACTTATATAATAACTGCCTTATTGATGCCTCGAGGGGTCTTAGACTAGGTACGCCTGGACCTCTATAGGTTCATACTAGGGACCTATTATAACCACTGCTATAGACACCTGATATAGCGACCTCCCCCGGATACTCCTGTCCTTAGGAGCGCCCGATCCGTGCCGGCCTCTCGGCTCCTCCTAGCCTCCGAGTCCGTTCCTAAATCCCCCGATACCCCGAACTAGAGCCTTCCACGATAGGACCCCGATAGGTCCCCGCCTAGTTCCTACACGGAGCCTCTTCGGCTATAGCCCTAACCCGATTGCGTACCCCTTTCCTTTATTCTATTAACTAAAACCACTAAAGCTAATATCCTACCCGGGCCCCTAATAGGTTTTACACTAATTCCTCCTTTAGCCTCCCAATCTATCCCTTTATTCTCCCGAGCAATATATCCCTTTAATCTATATAAAGACTCCCGAAACTAGTATTATATAGGGCCTAATATTGCTCCTTCCGTAAATTTCGTAGCTTCCTTCTTTATACTAAAAATAGGTGCCTTTATAACTGCTATTAGGGATATCTCGTAACCTGCCGTTATTCCCTCTTCCTATTCTTTTCTTCCTCTTCTATACTTAATTTTCGATCGTGTCTCTTATAAGTGCTCCCTAATCTAAGATATCGCGTACTAATGCCTTATAGTCCTCTATTAGTTATTTGCTATCTTATAAGTACTCCTATATATTCTAGTCCACGATACTGGCTAACTATATGTCTGGTATAGTCACTATACCTTCCTAGGAAAATAATAATAATAAGCGCGCTGCTAATCCCGCGAGTATAACACGGGCCGCTAAAAGGCTTAACACCACGGCTATAGCATTATCCTCGTAGTCTGCTAAGTAGTCTGCCCCGTAGCTAGCTACGCCGTAGCCGGCTAAGCTAAAGCCTCCTACTCCTACAACGGCTACGCCTTTAATATCGACTACTACGCCGTCGGTTACTCCCCGCCAGAAGGTAATAGATATCAGTATAGGCGGGGATCTAAGGGCCCCCTATATACATTATACGGGTAAGTTAGTAGCGATTAATTTGAAGGAAAAGACGTATACTATTAAGGCCGATATATGCCGTTACGCTAATAACGGTTATCGTATAAATATGTACCACTACTACTCCGAGCATAATAGCCTTAAATACCGAGTAGTAAGTTATATATCTTTATTATTATCCTTACAGCCCCTCCCTTTATAGACTACTCCGTGGTCCCGTTTTCTAATATATATAATAGCTTCCTATTACTAGTATGAACGTTACGGAGTAGCTATACAAGGTTTTAGTTATCGTTATTAAGAAACGTGGCCTAAACGAGAGTCGTTATATAAGCATTACTAACTATATCCCCTTATTAACCCTATATAATACCCTCACTAATCCTTTCTCATACTAGGCTATAGTAGTTTGATACTAGGTTATCCTTAGAGAGGCTCTGGGTTAAGCGACGCTAAAAGTTAACCGGTTATCTACTAAGGAAGCTATAGCTACTCGGCGTTAAGCTAAGGAAATTACCGACACCCGCTAGAAAACGGCGGAAGATATCCACGAGAGGCTTAATAGTATAGAGTCGATCCTTAAGTAATTTATCGGGTTATAGTAATAGCGTCTAGCCGTTAAGTAGAAACGCCTTGATATTGAATAATAACGCCTTACCTTATACGAGCGCGACCTCGCGGCCTAGGAGCGGACGGCTACTACTTTCGAGTAGATAGCTACTCTTCACCTAGCCTAGGCTTAAGGAGACCTGCCTATACCCTCGGGGCCTACCTTAGCCCCCGCAGGGGTTAGCTTTATAGGTAATAATATATTTAGCGACGGTAATAGCTTTACGTAACCTGAAGGCTTGCTATTGGGGGTTACGATACCGTAAGGTTTATAGGGTCCGCCGGACCCTTATAAAGTGCCTAACGATAACGATATAGTGCCGACCTTATTAGTAAAGAAGGGTAAGGG